ACTTTATAAAGGGCGGGGGGACAGGTTAAGAAGTGTTCAAGAGTCCAACAGCAGAGGGGAAGAAACTGTTCTTGTGGCGGGAGGTTCTAGTCCTGATGGACCGCAGCCTCCTGCCTGAGGGGAGTGGTTGGAATAGTCCATGTGCAGGGTGAGAGGGGTCGGCTGTGATACGACCAGCCCGGCCTCGAGCTCGGGCGACGTACAGGTCCTGCAGCAATGGAAGGCTGCGGCCGATCACTTCCTCTGCAGAGCGCACAATGCGCTGTAGTTTCTGTTTGTCCCTGACTGTGGCTCCAGCGAACCACACGGTGACGGAGGACGTGAGGATGGACTCGATGATGGCCGTGTAGAACTGCACCAACATCTGTGCAGGCAGCTTGGCTTTCCTGAGCTGCCGCAGGAAGTACATCCTCTGCTGGGCCTTCTTGATGAGGGAGCTGATGGTCGGCTCCCACTTGAGGTCCTGGGTGATGGTGGTGCCCAGGAAACGGAAGGACTCCACAGAGGTGATGGGGGAGTCCATCACGGAGGGTGGGGGTGGGGGGACAGTGCTCTTCCTGAAGTCCACAATCATCTCCACTGTCTTCTGGGCGTTCAGCTCCAGGTTGTTACCACTGCACCAGGACACCAGCCGGTCTACCTCCCTCCTGTAGGCGGACTCATTGTTGTTGGAGATGAGTCCAATGAGGGTGGTGTCGTCCGCGAACTTGATCAGCTTCACGGAGTCGTGGCTGGAGGTGCAGTGGTTGGTGTACAGGGAGAAGAGCAGGGGAGAAAGAACACAGCCCTGTGGGGCTCCTGTATTTATAATCCGAGAGTCCGAGACATTCTTCCCCAGACGCACTCGCTGCTTCCTGTCCGTCAGGAAGTCAGTGATCCACCTGCAGGTGGAATCGGGCACGTTGAGCTGGGAGAGCTTGTCCTGGAGCAGGGATGGCAGGATTGTGTTGAAGGCAGAGCTGAAGTCCACGAACAGGACCCTGGCGTAGGTCCCCGGGGAGTCCAGGTGCTGTAGGATGTGGTGGAGGGCCAGGTTAATGGCGTCGTCTACAGATCTGTTGGCTCTGTAGGCGAACTGCAGGGGGTCCAGGAGGGGGGAGGTGAGGGACTTGAGATGGGAGAGAACCAGGCGTTCAAATGACTTCATGACGACAGACGTAAGTGCTACAGGTCTGTAGTCATTGAGTCCTGTGATCCTGGGCTTCTTCGGGACGGGGACAATGATGGAGGATTTGAAGCAGGCCAGGACATGGCAGGACTGCAGAGAGGTGTTGAAAATGTCCGTGAACACAGGAGTAAGCTCACTGGCGCAGTGTCTCAGAGTGGCCGGAGACACGTGGTCCGGGCCAGGAGCTTTGCGGGGGTGCAGCCTCAAGAAGAGTTGTTTAATCTCTTTAGCGGCTATTGTTAGGCTGGGGGCAGGGCTGATGGGTGGGTCGTTAGAGTAGTGGGGGGTGGGGGAGGGAGAGGTGTCAGGGGCAGCATCAAAGCGACTGAAAAATAAGTTCAGATCGTCAGCTAGCTTGTGGTCGTCAGCACAGGGGGGGGCTTTGGGTTTGGATAGGGTATTACTATTACTAAAAATGTTCCATAGAACTCAATGTAAACTAAAACAGCTCAACCTCACCTGACAGAGAACCTATAGCTTTCATAAAGGTCGGATTTGTGGGGATTTGTCATCCTGAACTTTTTTTCTGCTTAAATCCTTAAAAACTTTTTCTTTAAATCCACACTTCACTGCCACAAACTCTGCTCGTTTTCTTCCCGCTCTGGCTCCAATCTACTGCGGCTCTGATTGGTCAAAGCGCGGCCGAGCCCCTCTGTGCACGTGCATGAGAGCCACACACGCGTATTTGGCGGACCGCAATAATGGGAGCTCCACTGCGCAGAACCGGGAGGACCAGACGATGCCCAAATATAGGCGAGTTCCGCCAATCTTTTGGTCCCCATGCATATCCCATGACCACAAGCCATTCATTTGAATAGGGCGCCATCTTGGATCACCGGGGCTTTTAATTTTGGTAGGGTCATTTCTCAGCATATTTAGCTTTGTGGTCTTCATAATGACAAGGGGGAGACAGTGGCTAAGCTGGTAGAGCATTGGCCTTTGGGCCTGAATGTCGTGGGTCCAAGCCCACCATAAGACCTACTTCATGACTTCAACTGATGTCTGCTGTCATTGTGTCCTTGGGTGATGACACTTAACTCCACTTTGCCTGAAGCCCCCGCCTGTGGACTCTCCACCTGCAGGAGGATCAGTGAGGGGCTGATTCCCCCCCCGACCCAGAAGTTTGTTCCAAATAATTAACATACAGGTAAAACTCGTTTACTTTTTTCACCATGAGTCTTATCAAAAGTAAGTAATTTAGAATGGTTTACCTTTATTTACTACAACTAGTGAATATAACTTAAGGTACACTAAAAGCAATTCATTGAAAAGCTACCAAATACTAACTGCAACCATGACATGTATTTGTGTATAGCCCTAAATCACAACAGCAATCGTCAGGACTTGGATTGCCCAACAACAGATCAGAGAATCAAACAGTTCAAACACAGGAAAAGCTGTTTCAATGATAACAATCTTATTGGAGCAATCGGCCCATAGGGAGTGGGATGACCAATGTCCATAAATGTCCTTGATCATCACTGAAACCTCTGGCTGTAGATCCAGGACTGAGGCCAGATCCAGGACTAGGCTGTAAATCCAGGACTGAGGCTGTAACTTGTATGGTGCAGATGTATGGTCTGACTTGTGACTTCTATTGATTTTGATTATGTAGTAACACACTTATATTATTACTTTTAACATGCAACTGTAAGTATAACAATTAAATAATTTAAATAAGTACCCCTTTTGATCAACCAGGAGAACAGACCTATAGCCCGACAAGCATAGAATATTTTATTTATGTATGTACAAAGCAGCACACTGCTGGAACAAAAGCCATAGATTTGTTCTACAGAGTAACATGGCTTCATATTTTACATTACATGTTATTTACAAACTAATATTTTACACATAGGGCACATAACTTTTTCAAACAACACAATCATTGTTTGCGATCTGAACTTTAAAGGTACGCTGTGTAATTTTTACTCCCATCTAGCGTTGAGATCATATGCAAGTCTACTTCTACCTTCGAGGACCATATGTCGTGTTTGACAGTGGTCCCCAACACCCGGTAATTCACCGGACCACTAAGGAAAGAATTCTTCAGTTTGATAAATGACCGGATCTCTCCATACACTGCAGCGCCACAAATGTGCCTTCACGCATGTGCGCAGAGGCAACATGTAAACAAAGTCAGCGTTGTGATGTGGCACGCGTTGCACAAAGGTGCTTTACCATGGATCTATAGTTTTACAAACGCTGTGAGAAGAGAAGAGACGCATGGACAAATGGGAAATCTGTGGGAGCTTAAAACCACGATGATCCGAGAAGCCAGGAGGGGACATTGCCTTGGACACAGCTGCGGCAGAACTGTGGCTAAAAACTTATTAGCTTTCACCAGGCGCTGCATTCGCATCTTGGTAAGAAAACAGAACATTCAAACTCACACTATTGATATTCTGGCGATTGCTTTCCAGGGATTCTGTGTGTTTTGCATACTTGAGGCTTGTCCCCTGAATAAGTTTTGTTGAAACTTGTGACATAGTAGTTGGACTCGGAGCGGGTCAGAACATCCTGAGACCCGTGTTGCAGATTCTGCCTCATTCTCATCACTGTCAGTGTGAAGAAAGTTACGTATTGTTCATGTGTGAGTCTGTTGTGAGTCTGTTGTGTACAAACTACAGAAATGTGCCTGCTGTTGTTTTAACTCTGCGTGTGGTTTGCAATGTTGACACTTTGCTGTTATGATGCGGTTTCTAGATTTTTGCATAATTATTTTTCTAAAAGATGGTTGTTCGGGTTGTTCTATTACATAATTGTGGTCCTCCATGGTTCTTTTACATAATATGGTCCTTCATGGTTCCTACTTCAAACTTGTGAGGGCACAGTGGAAGCAACGTTATTAGTAGCACCTGTGAAACGAAAACGCGATTCCCGCATTCTTTTTATCCCTTATCAACCATTGTATTTCAAGATTCCGCATTTACATGGAGAGTCCTAAGCTCTCATGGACATTTAAAATTCAAATTCTAAAGCCTAGCATACATCGACAGAGTAACTGGAGACAACTATTTGCCAGGCGGCTTTTGGCAACTGAGAGTAGATGATGGGAGTATCAGTTGCCGAAATCGGTCGATGTGAGCGCTCCTACAACTGGAGCTAACAACTTATCTTTAGACGTCAGTTGCGTTTTTCACTGTTTTCCTGCGCATTGCTAATGTGCTAATGCTACCAGCAAAATTTACATTTAAATCTGCTCCAGTGTAAGGGGATGCATTGTTAATGACATAATGATAAAGATCATGTGGGGTTAACTCGGGCAATAGTGGAAATTTAATTTAATCAATAAAATTGACTGGGGGGAGGAGGTACGAGTCAACATCCAGCCAAACCATCCTTCACTTCTCCAAATACCGCTCTTTGTGAGCCCTGACAAGATGTGCTACTTTCACCGAAAACGTAATCGAAAATGTGCTTGAAGAAGCCACGTCTCGATTTAGGAGAGGAGTCACAGTTTTTAAGAGTTGTAGTCCGTTTTGCTCTCGCCGCAATGCTAGTTTCCACTACTTCCGCCGTAAGCTCATTCACCATCACGTGACAGGATGACGTCGATGCATCTGGTCAATAATCAGCTGCCAGTCCGATGTACGCTAGGCATAAGTCTATGACAGCAATTCAAAAACATGGTGGAGGTAAATATTCTTAGAAAGGTCACATTTGTTATTGGTTAACATGTTTTTTCATTTGGAGCAACTGTAAAAAATTACACAGAGTGGCTTTAAGTTTCTATACTAAAACCACAATTAATGGTATAGCCCTTTTGAACACAAAATATCACAGTACAATTATTAATACTATTATTTACAGGTTTAATTGTTGATCTTGGTCATTTTAAAACAACATGGAAGCCATCTGTGTTTTCATCTGTAAGGAGACAAGAAGTATACAATTATGGCATTGGTCGGCTTCGCTATGTTGTCATAGCAACGCACTGGTTTTCACTGACACATTTGATCAACCTTACTGTAGAATTTGTTAGTTCAGTAACAGAAAAAAATTATCTATTGAGCGATATTCAAATTTTGTAAAGTGTTTCATGTGAAAGCCAGATCCCGTTATAAGTACTCTCTGGGAACACTAGGTGTCACAGTGGTGGTGAGGTGCCAAACTGTCCTTGTGTACTTAGGCAAGACACTTCACCCACAATACCTAGAATGAGTTTGATGCGTGAATGGCTGATGCATACAGGTTGCCTCGCTTTTTTGTCAGTGTGACACAGGGCAACTGTGGCTTCAATAGCAGTTTATCACCACTGTGTATGGAGTGAAAGAATAGTGACATGTGAAGCGTCCAAAAAAGCGCTATATGAAATGTACGCATTATTATTTTTATTTGCCACTTCTGAATAAAGCCTTGTATATCTTTATCTACGCTGAAAGATCAAGGCTGTCTCGTCACTGACAGAGCAGCCCTCCTCCTGTGGACTCACCACCTGCAGGAGGATCAGTGAGGGGCTGGTGCTATGTGACTTGGATGGTTTCTCTGACTGCCACCCCCCCAACCCAGAAATGGATCAAGGGATAGAAAATAGATGAATGGATGGATGGATGGATATCTTTTCATACAGAGGATGGGACTTTCTTTATAAATTACCTCGGATTGTGCAGACGATAAAGCTGGTTTCCTCTGTCAAATTATGCACCATCTGAAACATTAAAGAAAAGGTAAAAATCTACTTACCCCATTTTCACTGTATGTGAATGATGCGAGTGTGTTGAAAAAGCACCTCATCTGTGACTAAGACGTGGATCCCCGCTGGAGTCTGCCGGTAAATGTGCACGATTCTCTGTGATGAGATTTTAAATAGCTGCGAGAGTTTATCAGTCAGGTCTAATAACGTGAGCTCCTCCAGGTACAGCGCATGGTAAACTGAGAAACAAAGGAGGAAGGGGCTGTCTCAATAAACAATTGAAGTTTGTCCCAACAGAAAAAAGCCAACAAGTGTTTGCAAGAAAGATGATAAAAGTGTTCCTCTCATTATCTCTTTTCTGTGACCGGGATCAAGTCAAATCCGGAATGTCGGCACTTTTTCAGATAGAGATTTTATTCTATTTTTGAAGTATAGAATTGCACTATACCTAATATTTACTTACAGTGGTATGAAAAGGTTTGGAGACCCCTCTCAATTTATATAATTTTCCTTTATAAATCATTATAATAAGAAATTTCAGTTAAATATATCATACACAGTGATACAAACAGTGATATTTGAAAAGTGAATGAGTGTACAAGAATTATTTAAACCAAATTAGGCATGTGCATAGTTTTAGGTACCCTTTATTTGTTTTTATTTTGATGTATAGAGGTCAAGGGTCATTGAGAAAAAAACAATTTTGAATTCCTATGATTGTGCTAAAGGAATTCAAATTTAAAACAATTCATTCAATTTAAATTGCAAACTCCAAAACTCTCTTCTCTCTCCTCACCAACATTACCAAACCCCCTGACTCTTTCCCCCACCATATGCAACTCACTGACTTCTGTAATTCACTTATGTCCTTCTTTACCTCCAAGATCTCTGACATTCACCAACACCTGACCCCACATGGAGCTGCGGTCTCTGGAGTGGACTCCTCAGCCACCCACTCATCCCTCATAGCCACATACTCCAGCTTCCTATTGCCCTCCGTCCAAGCCATCTCCGATTTAATCCTTAAATCCAAACCCTCTACCTCTCAGCTCGACCCTCTCCCTACAGTTCTTGTCAAATCCTGCCTCCCCTCAATTGCCCCCCTCATCACTAATATCATTCATTAATCTCTCACTTCTGGTAATGTCCCTCTCCCAACAGCCTCAGTCTCACCCATTCTCAAAAAACCTGGCCTGGATCCCACCAACTTCCACAATCTCCGTCCCATCTCAAAACTTCCCTTCATCTCCAAAATACTTGAAAAATCTGTCGCTGCTCAACTCCACAACCACCTCACCACTAACAACATCTATGAACAATTTCAATCTGGTTTCCGTTCCCTCCACAGCACCGAAACAGCACTGCTAAAAATCACTAACGACCTCCTCATTGCTTCTGACTCCGGTTTACTCTCCATCCTCATCTTTCTTGACCTCACTGCAGCTTTTGACACCATTTCTCACTCCACTCTCCTTAACAGACTCTCCTCTATCGGCATCACCCATACCCCCCTCGCCTGGTTCACCTCCTAACTTTCTGATCGCTCACAATACATCCATCTCAAATCCCACAAATCCACCACTTTTCCTGTCTCCGCTGGTGTGACCCAGGGTTCTGTCCTGGGGCCCCTCCTCTTCATCATCTATGTTCTCCCACTCGGTCACATCCTCCGCCGTCACAACATTCACTTCCACTGTTACGCGAATGACACCCAGCGCTACCTCTCCACTAAACTATCTTCCTCTCTCCCTCCATCCTGTGTCTACAAGAAATGCATTCCTGGTTCTCTTCCAACTTCCTCAAATTCAACAGCTCTAAAACTGAAGTCCTTCTCATAGGCACCCCCTCCACTCTCTCCAAATCTAACAGCTTCTCTATCTCCATCCATAACGCATCTGTCCTCCCCTCCCCTCAGGTCAAGAGTCTGGTTGTCATCCTCGACAGTTCACTCTCCTTCCAATCTCACATCAATAACACCACTCTACTTCCTCTCTGCCTTCTTCCACCTGTGCAATATCTCTCGTCTCCGCCTCTCTCTCATCCCCCACACCACCGCCATCCTCGTCCACAGCCTCGTCACCTCTAGGATTGACTACTGCAACTCACTTTTCTTCAGCCTCCCCAACAAATCCTTCCAGAAACTGCAACTCCTCCAAAACTCTGCAGCTCGTATCATCACCCAGACCCCTACAGCTGACCACATCACCCCCGTACTCCGACAACTCCACTGGCTTCCTGTCAAACAACGAATCGACTTCAAAATACTCCTCACCACTTTCAAAGCACTTCACAACCTGGCCCCTCCGTACCTATCTGATCTTCTCCACCCTGCCACTCCTGCCCGCACACTCCGCTCCTCCTCCACTCTCACACTCTCCGTCCCCCCAGCCAGACACATCACCGTGGGACACAGAGCCTTCAGCCACTCTGCCCCCCAGCTCTGGAACTCTCTCCCCCCTGACCTCCGTACCATTAACTCTCATCCACTCTTCAAATCCAGACTCAAAACCCATCTGTTCAGACTGTCCTACCCCACCTAACACACACGCACCCACCATCCTATATTGCACTACTGTTTTATTCTGTTGCTCCTGTTTTTAATGTTTTTATTATGCCTGTACAGTATCCTTTGGTGTTTTGAAAGTCGCTTTTAAATTAAATGTATTATTGCTATTATTAATTTCAATTCATTTATGCACATGCCAATTTTGGCTTAAATAATTCTTGCTCTCCATCCATCCATCCATCCATTTTCTTCCGCTTTATCCGTTGCCGGGTCGCGGCCCAGACTTCCCTATCCACACACACTTTCTCCAGCTCGTCCGGGGGGACCCCAAGGCGTTCCCAGGCCAGCTGAGAGACATAGTCCTTCCAGCGTGTCCTAGGTCTTCCTCGGGGCCTCCTCCGCCCGGAACACCTCCCCAGGGATGCGTCCAGGAGGCATCCGGAACAGATGCCTGAGCCACCTCAACTGGTTCCTTTCGACGTGGAGAAGCAGCGGCTCTACTCCGAGCTCCTCCCGTGTGACTGAGCTCCTCATCCTATCTCTAAGGGAGCGCCCAGCCACTCTGCTTGTATCCGCGATCTCGTTCTTTCGGTCATTACCCAAAGCTCATGACCATAGGTGAAGGAGGGAACGAAGATTGACCGGTAAATCGAAAGCTTTGCCTTTCGGCTCAGCTCCCTCTTTACCACAACGGTCCGATACAGCGACCGCATCACTGCGCACGCTGCACCGATCCGCCTGTCAATCTCACGCTCCATTCTTCCCTCACTCGTGAACAAGACCCCGAGATACTTGAACTCCTCCACTTGAGGAAGGACCTCTCCACCCATCTGTAGAGGGCAAGGCACCTTTTTCCGGTCGAGCACCATGGCCTCGGATTTGGAGGTGCTGATTCTCATCCCAGCCGCTTCACACTCTGCTGCAAACCGCCCCAGTGCATGCTGCAGGTCCTGGTTCGTTGGAGCCAACAGGACAACATCATCCGCAAACCGGACCCCCTCCGACCCCTGGCTGCGCCTAGAAATTCTGTCCATAAATACAGTGAACAGAACCGGTGACAAAGGGCAGCCCTGTCGGAGGCCAACATTCACCGGGAACAAGTCTGACTTACTGCCGGCAATGCGAACACAGCTCTGGCTCCGGTTATACAGGGATCGGATGGCCCTCAGCAGAGGACCTCCGACCCCGTACTCCCGGAGAACCCCCCAAAGGACACCCCGGGGAACACAGTTGAACGCCTTCTCCAAATCCACAAAGCACATGTGGACAGGTTGGGCGAACTCCCATGACCCCTCGAGTATCCGATGGAGAGTATAGAGCTGGTCCAGTGTTCCGCGACCGGGACGAAAACCACACTGCTCCTCCTGAATCCGAGATTCGACCATCGGCCGTAGCCTCCTCTCCAGTACCTTGGAGTAGACCTTACCGGGGAGGCTGAGTAGTGTGATCCCACGATAATTGGAACACACCCTCCGATCCCCCTTCTTGTAGAGAGGGACCACCACCCCGGTCTGCCACTCCATTGGCCCCGCCCCCAATCGCCACACGATGTTGCAGAGACGTGTCAGCCAAGACAGTCCTACAACATCCAGAGACTTTAGATAATCAGGACGGATCTCATCCACACGCGGAGCCTTGCCACCATGGAGGCTTTCTTGCTCTCTTTCTGTAAAAATAATAATAAAATATCACAGTGTTTTGTCTAATATATGATTTATTTAACTGAAGTTTGGGGTGCCCAAACTTTTTCATACCACTGTTTGTGTTGTGTGTTGTGTGGTCCTCATTCCTACTGTTCTTTATAACTTGTGATGCAACACAAACATTTTCCCACTGTTGGAACAATTAAAGGATCTCTAGGGATCGCTTAATCTTAAAGTGGCCCTTATAATACATTTCAGAAGCTCCTGTCATATGAAGGTACAGCTTTCTTCAGTACCTTCTCCTCCCAGGGCTTTGAGTGAGACTGGGCTCCTGCTCTGCTGCTGGCTCACGTAGATGGTGAGGCGTGGCTGGACGGACCTATGGAGAACATAGGTTAAAGCTCAATGGTGTTGCGCAGGCCTTGCTTTAAATGCCGCCATAATATTAATAACTATTAACACTAGGACCGCCGTGCTCTAAACATACCTTGCACCGCCCCCTGCGGTCAGTTGACCGCTATGTATTTTGCGCTGATGCAGCCTTTTGCCAAATTGATTGTTCACTAAACCAGAACTTGATGTTGCAAAGGAATCGTGATCATAATGAAACTGTGTAAATTATTTGTCTAAATATGCTAAGTAATTGTAATTCTAGCCGAAATAAAAGACTAAGACGACACATTGTGCATGTACTGATCCATCAAAATTACGATGACTTTTCAGGCTAGATTTATTTTGTAACTTTGCAAACACCTAAAAGGTCGGTCACTATATGTTATATTTGACTCAATAACAATATGTAAATTCAAACAATATAAATTATAGTTTAGAAAAGCACGGGACCATAACGTCTTCGCGCTGCTATATGCGTCTACTTCTTACGTCATCTCCAGACTGTTTTCTTTTTAGAGGCCGAAATCACCGTGGGAAATATTATCTAGACAATAATAATATTCGTATTGACACAAGATCATCAGCTAGGCTACCATCGCCAATGTACAATCTTCAATTTTACACGGGACACGTTAGAAAGACAAATATATGTATATATATATTTGTATTTATTTGAGACAAGCAGTGCTCATTATGCTCAGAACAACATTATAATCATTGCCTTGCAGTGCGCGCTGTGCAGAATAACACACAGTGTTATCTGGATGAAATAAGAATGATATCCTTATTGATAATGAGGGCCGCTTCTGCCCCACAGTCGCTCTCCTCCTGCAGTGTCCGCGGGTGACGAGAGGCCTCACAGCGCTCTCTCTGCACTCTGCCTTGATAGTTCATCTAATTGTTCTATTTTATTGTGATATTGTATTCTGCTGTATTGCCTTCTTGTATGTATAAATATAATAATGTAATTGATGATGAATGAAAAGGCAGAATGGAGCGACAGCGCGCACACAGACACCTGCGTATGGCTGGCATTACGCGGGTCATGTGCGTTATTGCTTCTGGACTTGTTCCAACACTGCTGTCCGTCCCGTGAATGCACTATGGGTTTACGTTCAGATTTAGAATATTATAGGTGTTCTCCCCGCTGTCACTTTCCACCTCAGAGTCTGACATCTCACCTCCGTCAGACTGTTCTCATTCAATGTCTTGAAGCACTGTCAGGGCTTCATACCGTGTACTTGCAGCTCTATTCATTTTGTACTCCTCTCTCTCTCCCAAATAATAATAAAAAAGTCCCTTTAGAGTCTAATGAAAACATATTGATACATTTTTATAAGGCGCGAAAAACCCCCGGGAAAGGTTACTATGACAACAGTCGCCCCTGCGCCATGTATCTCCATGGGGCAGCAGAAAGGGCTGTGGTTTAGAAAAGTTAAAATGCGTGTAAATCTTGTTTTCTTTACTTTTTCCAAAACCAAAACACACAAAAATATAAACAACAAGTACCTAGTAAAAGTCATAAAATTTCAACTTCTGGCGTTTTGTTTTGAATACACTAATTAGCATATTAAAGTGAGTGACGGTCAGTTGACCGCTAGGGGCGCTCCTAGTGTTAAAGAAGCTATACCCGATTTGTCTTCTAAGGAGTTCATAAAAATGCGTATTACTACATACAAGTTGTGTTAAAATCCTTAAGTTAATTGAAAACTTGAACTCATAGATTCAGCTTGTGTATGAATTCAGGCCATAAAAAAGTGCTGAGTAGAAACTTGGCGTGACGCTCGTTCTCCTCCACTCACAGAACGAGGAGCGGTGCTGTTTTGAACAGGCTGCATCCTCTAGCGTCTACAGCGCTGGTAAACACAGAAGCATGTTAGCAGTGGCTACAACTCCTCTGGCCGTAACTGCATACACAGGAAAAACAGCCCAAACGACGCAACAGTGAGGGAGAGAAGAGGGAACTAAAGCGAAAAAAAAGATCAAAGAAGAAATCAAGCCCGGGTGAGTATAAGAAGCGTTAGCTTACATCGTGTCCTCCGGAGAGACCTGCGGGAGCGGGACCGACTCGGATTACATTTGGACGCAAAACAAGTGGTAATCTTTCAGTTATATATTTTGTTAGCAGTGCGTTGCTTTTGTACTTTCTATTTCATCAGTGATTGTTGTACACAGGGATGGGATTAACAGCGTTACTAACGCCGTTACTCTTTTCAGTTACGAGTAATCTAACCAATTACTTTGACTGTAACACCCCGTAACTGCACGTTACTCAAGTCACAGGATAAAATAACCTCTCAGATGACTGGCTGACGTAAAACATATTTCCTTTACAATCTACATGTCTACAGTTGAGAGGATGGTTCATAAATTGTGTTTTTGAAACAAATTAGGGTCTTAATCGCGCTCAACCACGGCTTGTAATGTCACTAAGTGAGGCCAGCTTCAGGGGGGCGTACGTGAGCACAGAATTTGGCTGCATTCGATTCCATCATCTGCAAAGGGCAGCTACAGGTTATTATTTTAAGATAATTTAAAATGCACTTAGGGTAATGTTCCAATAGGTAGGAATGATAATAAAGAGAGGTGAAGGGTAAGACGGTTGATTTTAGAAATCGGATGCACCCGAGATTCGGCTGCAGTGAAACAAGAGAGGAGTTTATGGAACACTTTTTTTTTACTTTTTAAAACTCAATGGACTTATTTCCCAATGGAGGATTACATATCAAACTATTATCTGGACTTGAAACTGGTCTGTGCAGTTTATGTTTGGTATGGCCCATAACACACTTTTAAATGTGCTTTTTCATACTTTTGTATTTTGTATGAGCAAACAATGCATGAAACATATTCTGCTGTAGCCAAACTGTGAATAATCCGCTCTGTAGGTCCTGTAGATTTAGATGATATATGTGTACATTTGATTGGCATGAAGTCAGTGCCTCACCAATCACCATCCTCACCGCACGTCACTGGTGTTTCCACATTCACAGTGTTGGTGTTTAGTGCTTACAGCACAGAGAGAGATGAAGAGTGAGGAGGACTCCAGCAGAAAAACCACCTTTTCCAGATGGAAATATCACCACTATTTCAAACTCACTGAGGCATAAGGTAAATATATGCACGTCGAGTGCATAATATGTTACAGACAGTGATGGGAATAACGGCGTTACTAGTAACGGCGTTACTAACGCCGTTACTTTTTTCAGTAACGAGTAATCTAACTAATTACTTTGACAGTAACTATAACGCCGTTATCATTTCCGACATCCCGTTACTGCGCGTTACTCAAGACGCACAATGAACGTGTTGTCATGAGAGAAGGGAGGATGAGAAAACCTCTCAGCAATTATTGGCTGATGTAAATCATATTTCCTTTACAATCTACATGTCTACAGTTGAGAGGATGGCTCATAAATTGTGTTTTTGAAACAAATATGGGTCTTAATCGCGCTCAACCACGGCTTGTATCACCGTGAGGCCAGCCTCAGAGGAGCGCATGTGAGCGCAGAAGTCGGCTGCATACAATTCCATCGATAAGCTCCTTGCTCTTCCTGGTTTATCTGCTAAGGACAGCAACAGGTTTGGCTAACATACATATAACACATTTTTACATAATCTAAAATGCACATAGGGTAATTTTTCAATTACTATAGGAATGATAAGAAAGAGAGGTGAAGACGGTTGATTTTAGAAATTGGATGCAGCCGGCTGCAGCAAAACAGAGGAGTTTACGGAGGACACACGCGTTTTGTTTTACTTTTTAAAACTCATTGGACTCATTTCCAAATGGAGGATTACATATCTACGCTCAAACCATTCACTGGATTTAAACAAGGAACTGGTCTGAACCGAAGTGGACTGTGCAGGTCATTTATAAGGTATAGCTATAAGGTAAGACCCATAACTCATAGTTTTGCGTTTTGTATGAACACACAATGCGGGCATAAAACATATTTTGCTGTAGCCAAACAAATTGTCCACTTGATTTATATGATGTATATGTTCATCTGATTGGACTGAAGTCAGTGCTTCACCAGCCTCACCGCTCGTCACCGGTGTTTCCACATTCACAGTGGCGGGCTTTACAGCACAGTGAGAGATGAAGAGTGAACAGGACTTCAGCAGCAAAACAGCCTTTTCTAGATGGAAATATTGGCACTGTTAAAGGTAAAAATGCGCACGTCGGGTGCACATTATGTTCCAGAACAAAACGAAAAAGTAACGCAATAGTTACTTTTACTGGTAACTAGTTACTTTTATAGTGGAGTAACTCCGTTAGTAACTCAGTTACTTTTTGGGAGAAGTAACTAGTAACTATAACTAATTACTTTTCAAAGTAGCGTGCCCAACACTGGTTGTACAGTATTGTTGTTGTTGTACAGCTTACAAGAAGTTGCGCTAATGCTAATGTTTGCATATATATCAGATCGCAAATAAAACTAGATGGCTTCGTGGGAGGAGAGCATAGGGGAAATAAGAAGCCTGTGAGCGAGTTGGGGGGCGGTGCTAAACATTCAAACTGGAAAAAATCTTGCAGAAACGGGTATAGCTCCTTTAACAAACATTTGTTTGTATAGCACCTCTCTAAACAACAGTTACAAATAGTGCTTCACAGTCACAACAAAGACACAGACATAGCAAAGGTACAGACACAACAACAAGAACACAGTAGGAGAGAGGAGAGGATAGTGCTCCATACTTCTCCCAGCGAAGTACATCTTGACTGACATTCTGATTTTGTTTTAAACCTAGCCTTGAATGTTGAGGCTGTGACTGCTTCCTTAACATTGATGGGGAGCTGAGTCCTCAGTATAGGAGCTTGGTAGCTCTGCCTCCACCTTTACTTTTCAACAGTTTAGGAACAACCGTCTTGCGTTTTGTCAGTGAAAAGACAGGGTCTGATTCCTATGATACTCATGTGTCTTGGAGGTAGGAGGGAGCCATAGGCCACAACAGAACATTATGAGAAGCATAAACATTAGTATCAAGACTTAGAATGATCCAGTAATAAGCTCACTGACCAAGTCTGACGTCTTTGTTGTAGTCTGTTCCTTCCCTCTCTTTATTTTAATGTCAATGGAGCATTTGAATTTGTGTTTGTAAAAAGTGTAATAATAATCATATTACAAGAAGAAAGGAACCCAGAATGGGACTGAAATAACTGAAAATAAAGTGTAATTTAATTAAATAAACCCAAATCCTGGGAAAGAATAAAACACAAAAATCAAGAACTAAAAACAGCCGGACAATACCTCCTCTTGTTGTGTGATCCTGCTCCCATCTCTGTGTGGATTTGTAGTAAGAGAATAAATGCCCACAACAATTGTAAAGCACTTTGTGACTAGGCGCTACATAAATGATAAAGAGGTCATACTTACTAATGATCAGACAGCAAGTAGGGAAAAGCATAAATACACATGGAGATACTAAAAGACGAGGTCAGGTAATAAAATAAATCAAAGTTAAAAATTAAACACCCCACATTATTAGTGAAAAGGACATTTCTTTTTGTTGATTACAATATGTGAACTTCAAAGTCACAGGGGAAGTCACAAGACAGGTCTGTTTTGAGCCAAATGCAATACAATGAATGCAAAAGATACATTTCAGATTTCATTTGAAAGACATGACGCAGTCTGGCGTAAGATGGTGAAACAAGTGAATACGAAATTTATAGAAGAGATTTAATGACAGCTGGATATGATGGAGGTCTTTTTTCTAAGTAGTAGTGGAGTAAATACACATAACCAGGTGTTTTGTGTAAGCCCTCAGTCGTACAGGGATTAGTCAAAGCAAAGGAAGGTTTCTCACCCATCATCTGTACTTCTTAGCAAGTTTTCCCGACGTTTTGTCCTCAATCCAAAGGACTTCTTCAGGGAATGAATTCTCAGACCGCGCGTTGGAGATTTATAACCTTTGGGTGTGGTTAGCCACATCCTAATCCTGATACTAACTCATAAACAATCTAAGGTCTGTTTGATGTAGAAGGGAGCAGGTCTAACGACCCTGCTGAGGCTAACGACCCTAACTCATTAGCATGTCACTGACATTGTCCCAAATTAGGTCGTTGTTTTTAGGATGTCGTCATAGATGCGAGGCAAAACAAATCTTAACCCTCCTCCTCTGTTAAGAGAAGGTTTTTGAAACCTCAGGATTAGGGTGTGGCTAACCACACCCATAGGTTATAAATCTCCAACGCGCGGTCTGAGAATTCATTCCCTGAAGAAGTCCTTTGGACTGAGGACGAAACGTCGGGAAAACTTGCTAAGAAGTACAGATGATGGGTGAGAAACCTTCCTTTGCTATAACCAGGTGTATTTAGTAGTGATGAGATACACAGAGTACTGTAAAAATACTTTCTGAACAATTTTTATAATACTAATTTTGCATAACTACAGGTATATAGCAGTAAATAATAATGCATTTTTTTTATTTGGCACTTCACTGGACACTAAAAGGCACACTGACGGAAGCAAAGAAACTTGTTAGCAACCATTCACACACACTAGACTCATTCTATGCAATGTGGCGAAAGTGTCTTGCCAAAGGAAACATAGCTGCTATGTGTTTGTTATTATTGCATTTATTGTGTTCGAACTGTTCGATTCTCTGATCTGTTGTTGGCAAATAAAAATTCCTTCGAGGTGACTGCTGTTGTGATTTCAGGCTGAACAAAAATGAATTGAATTGAAGTGAATAGTGTGTACGTGTCCTTTTGTGATGTTGTATACAGTGCTGGGTGTAACTCCAAAAAAGAATACTTAATGTAATAACGTGGCGTAACATAACTGTATGAGTACTTGTAATTAGATTCAATTACAAACCTGTAAAATAAACAATGGAGTCCCACCACTAGGACCAACATGATTTCTAGATTTTGTAGAGTTTCTCTTTACTTGAAAAGACCCCTGTAATTTAATCGATTAAACTCATTGTAGTTTCAGCCAGACATAATCTCCATTTTGTAATTTTCCCTTTGTGTTTTTTTGAGATTCTGGGATATCATATATTAAAACTGGTAATTCTAAATGTTTATCTTCAGGATAACTTTCTGTTAAGTATTTTTCAGAATTTTTTTATCTGACTAAAACGAAGGTGAAGAATAATAGTTTGTAACAAATGCATACTAAATACTATATATGACCCTGTGTATAATGTTGCGCATGTAGAGGCCTGGAGAAGCAGCGCAGGACTGACCTTCCCTTCATGGAGTTGAAGAGCCGGATCCCGTCAGCTGGACCACAGATCTGGATCAGGTCGTCCCGGCTCATCCTCAGCAGGTCTGCTCCTATGGTCACACGTCCAGTTGTACTTATTCACACTCACAGAATTATGAGGGGTTATTATTACATGAAGTGTCTAATTCATTTAAAATAGGAGAAATATAACTGGAAATAAATAAAATGGTTGAATAGACTGTTTAACCTTCTGACAAACAAGAATAAGACAAAAGTTTACTGTCAAAATGATAAACGGAAGAATGAATGAATACTACAAGTGGATTCATTTTTTAAGACCGTGTTTGATTATTGTTTTTTTTTGTTTCAACTGCTGTGGTCTTAAAAAAACAGAATCCACTTGTACAATCAGAAGACCAAAAGAACCTCATTGGACTAAGGAATAAATAAGTTGGTTAAAAAAAAAAATTATATAGCGCATTTCACATATCAAGGTCACACAAAGCACTTTAAATAAAAATTGTACCAGTATCAATATACTTTTTTTTTACTCTAACATGTTTGCACACTTCTATCTTTTGCACAAATCTGAGTGATTCTATCTATGCCAAATGTGACATGTAAATTTCTCCTATGTGAGATCAATAAAGTTTATCTTGTCTTATCACATCTTATTGTAGTTAACCTAAGTATCACAAACATACTTACATATGTAGATGGACAATGATAACCTTCGAGCTCGAAGTCATTCATACAAATGTTTAACAGATTCATTTGTGCGTAGAACAGTACAAGTTTTAATTATTTTATTGAACATTCTCTTTGTTCAATAAAATAATGGGGGGGTTGTGGTCTCAGAAGCAGTGACAGACATCTGTTTTGTTTTTTTTAAGATTATACTAAGATGTGCTCTCCTCAACTATATTTAAGTTCCCTATGAAGAGGTAACTTTCAATTTTTTTTATATCGTATCCCCATTTTCTATAAGATAGAAGGAAACTTTTCATGGAAAAAGTTTCTATCTTTGAAAATGTTTGCATTTATACTCTTGATATTAGCAGAAGATGGATATAAACACATCTTTAGGCCTGTTTTTGACGAGTTTGATTACCTGAGAAGCTGGAGAAGATCTTGGCAAACGAGCTGAACCTGTGCGTGAGGAGCCACTGCTGAGTGTCTTGCTGCGAGGACGTGGTCAGAAGGAGCTGGGGTCAGAAACAAGAGTCCTTAGTCATGAGTAAGACAAGATAAGAGAACCTTTACTTACCTTTACAGGACAGTAAACAAGGAGCACACAACATATACAGAGGTAGGAAGCAGTGAATGCTTTTTAATAGCTGTAATTACAGAGTACAGTATAGTATAGTACAGCAACAACAGAGTGTGTGAAGGGAATGAGCGAGCAGCGTTAAGGCTAGGCAAGTTTATTTGTATATATATATATATATATATAATTTGTACAGTTCTTACACAAGGCACCTCAATGTGCTTATCAAAAAATATATCATATAGGGCATTCAAATCTCAAATAATCACAGTACATTAAATTAGTTCATCAAATATATAAGTTAGTTCATTTCAAACCTGCAGAACATAACTTCACATATCTTTATACTAATACAGGTTTAAAAAAGGAGTTGGACGAAGCATATGCTTAAGAAGAGTGAAGATACAGTCCTTCAGTTGTAAACACAGCTAAACAGAATTGTTTTTAACCTGGATTTAAACAATGTCAGAGTAGCAGCCTGTTAGAGAAGACTCTTCCAGATTTTATCTTAATAAATCTGAAATGCTGAGACTGCACACTTACATCTGCGCAGCCGGCCACGAGCAGCTCCGCAGGCTGGTCAGGAGAGCAGCTGCTGCAGACATTAGACAGAATGCAGACAGAGGGACAATGCAAACCCGCTAGCTCAATGAAACTCAATAGGAAAGTGCTCGTTGTGGATCTAATTGAATTAAGCTGAAAAGCGAACTCCTATCTTAATAGCCGTTTGTATCATAATGACCATTCTGGGCTTTAAATATCTGTGGTTTTAGCGCGGTCTGTGTCTGGATTTACAAACACAATATTAAACTATAAACACTAGGATCACAAAGACAATTTTATAATTAGTGAAGGCCAAAAAAGCTTTGCAAAATTACCTAAGCTTGTCTATGTATAACACTATGGATCTTTTGTTTTAAGGAATTTCATATTTATGTGTGCTAGTCCGTGTGTGTGTGTATGTATGTGTGTAAATGTAAGTGCGTGTCTTACCCCTCTGTGAAAGAGCAGGATGTGGGGGGGCTGTGGTAAGCCGGAGACAGGGCTATACTGCCGTTACTATTATTGGATGGCAAGTTCAACGTGTCAGGCCAAAGAGAGCACTGCACACACAAATGCACACACACATATACACACATGTACGCATACACACACGCACGCATACACAATACGCACACACAGACAAACAGACACGCATGCATATACACACACACGCATGCATACACAATACGCACACACAGACAAACAGACACGCATGCATATACACACACACGCATGCATACACAATACACACACACAGAAATTGTCAAATCAGTTGTCACATGGAAATGTAGACTTTCTAGACATTTTCATTGATGACCTAATTTCAAAAGTGGAAATAAAACTACACATTACACACATATAGTTATAATGAAAATAATATGAAATATAAGCGTGCATTTCAGTTTGGCGATGCACAATCCACAATTAGACATTATCATAATAGGATTTTACAAGTACTTATATTACAAAAAGGGGTCATACCACAGAAACAGTTTGACACCAAAAATGTCTATCAAACCACTTTGTGTCTTAGAGGATGGAAAACTGTCTGAAGCTTTTTTCAATTTTCTCATAAGAGGCGAGAAGCGTTAGAGTAAAATTTGAGTTTGAGTGGCTGCAAAACGTGGGGGAGTTGTTGTTATTTTGAAGCTAAGGAGGGCCTTCCCTCACTTTTTCCCACTGTTTTTTGAGTGGTTCCTTGCCAATGCAGGTGTGTCTAAGGACAGTGATGATCCAGGAATTTATCAATGTATTAACATTTATGGACTCTGGTCATCCCACTCCCTATGGAAAAATGGCTCCTATGTGTTTGTTATTATTGCATTTTCTGTTTTCGAACGCCTTTATTCTCAGAGTAGTAAAACTATTCTGTTACTTTTTCGTTTCTCGCCCCCGTACTCGAGGTGCACATTTATACCTTTAACTTCAGTGAGTTTGAAATAGCGCAGATAATTCTATCTGGAAAAGGCTGTTGTGCTGCTGGAGTCCTCCTCACTCTCCATCTCTCTTTGTGTGCTGTAAGCACTAAACTTCCACCACTGTGAATGCAGAAATATCCACCTTCCCAATTTCTCTGATTGGCTGAAGACATAATCTTACTATACATCAGCCAATAATTGCTGAGAGGTTATCTCATCCTCCCTTCTCTCATGACAGCACGCGCACGAGTCCTCTGAGGGCTAAACAAAATAAGTGTAATTGAACAGGTGCCACAGCGTAGCGGTTGCGGCTGCAAAGAGCAAAACTGATGTGTTTTAGGCAAAGACAATACACCCACATTGCCTAGAATGAATGATGTGTTTGTGAATGGTTGGTGGTGGTCGGAGGAGCTAATGGCTATTACAGGTTGCCTTGCGTCTGTCAGTGGGCCACAGGACAGCTGTGGCTACAGTGTATGGAGTATGGAGTCAATGAATAAGGCCATAAGAAACATTTTTAGAGCGTCCATAACAGCACAATATAACAGATTTTTTTTATTTTGAAAGATACATTTCAAACCAGTTGAAGTCCTTTGATCCTCTCGCTCAATCATCTACAGACTTACACTTTGAGGAAATATTTTGTGTTTAGCATCCAGTAACATATTAACATGAATGAGTTGAGCATGTGTTGAATGAAGCGTTGGTTTGAATCCATTAAACCAGTGTTTCCCAACAGGGGTATGTGGACTTTTTGGGGTACACGAGGATATTACAGGGGGTACTTGAAATTCATTTCAAAACTTGCTTGCAATTTGCACTCCATCCATCCATCCATTTTCTACCCTTTAATCCATTTCTGGGTCAGGGGGGTGGCATTCAGAGATGCCACCCAAGTCTCATAGCACCAGCCCCTCACTGGCCCTCTGCAGGTGGTGAGTCCACAGGAGGACGGCTGCTCTGAGTTGAGCATAGCCTTGATCTTGCAGCGGGGGCTTTGGGCAAAGTGGGGTTAAGTGTCTTGCCCAAGGACACAACGACAGCAGTCATCAGTGGGAGTCGGTGGAGAAGGTGCAGAGGTGGGAATTGAACCCACAACCTTCTGGCCATAAGGCCAATGCTCTACCAACTGAGCTACTGTCGCAAATACAGTAGCAGTATTTTACTGTCGCAAATACTACTATTTGCACTAAGAGGTGTAATTGGGCTCATGATATGGCAATGATATTTTTTTCATTGGAAACATTGAACCCAGAACACAATAGGAGGCCTATCACACTTTTGATCCAATTTTGGTTCAGTTCAAGAAAAATCTAAAAGTCATGCTAAATCAAAGCCCAAAATCATTAGACTTTCCATAACTTTCCAGACAATGATGGAGACCTTGGCAAAGCATAAAAAAGGTTCAAATCAGCTTCTTCCACATTGAGCTTCTTCCACATCAGCACTCCGTCACTGCACTCCTTATACACTGTTTATGGTTTGACCCTGGGGTACTATTTGTGTCTGCGCTGGCGATATACAAGGTAAAGAGGTTGGGAACCACTGATATAAACCATTGTTGAGTTTTATGAAGATTCTTAGTTTGATAAACAGTTTCTGCTTGCTGAAAAATAGTTCAGTTTATACTGAATTGTGTTTGGATGGAGCTAGGAATGCACTCCATATCTGTTTTTGATGAGGGAGCAATGTTTAAAAACTCTATAAAATTAGTATTTTGCAAGGGATTAGTGATTTAGAAGAGTCACCTCTTTCAGGACGGTGGTCTCGTGGGAGAGCTGGTATTTCTCCTGGTCCTGCAGCTCCCTTTTGAAGATCTTTTCACGGTCCGTCTTCAGCTTCCGGTCCGCCCCTTTTGGCTTTGAAGCAACAACAAAATCAAACAAAATTATGATCTATTCCTGTCTAACAATGTCATACACAGGGATAATCATATAAGTGCTTTGTGTTGCATGAATGAGAAGGTTTGGAACCATGGACTGTATATAGATGGGCAATGCACTAGCAAAATAGTGAGAGACTACAGCGCATTGTGCGCTCCGCAGAGGAAGTGATCGGTCCTTCCATCGCTGCAGGACCTGTACGTCGCCCGAGCTCGAGGCCGGGCTGGTCGTATCACAGCCGACCCCTCTCACCCTGCACATGGACTATTCCAACCACTCCCCTCAGGCAGGAGACTGCAGTCCATCAGGACTAGAACCTCCCGCCACAAGAACAGTTTCTTCCCCTCTGCTGTTGGACTCTTGAACACTTCTTAACCTGTCCCCTCGTCCTTTATAAAGTCACTTTACTGCCCATCATACGTCACTTTACTTCACTGTACTGCTGTCACCTTACATTGTGTTCACCATGTGCACTTCTATATTGTAAATAGTAATTGTAACTCTATTTTGAATTTACATTTATTCCTTAGAAGTGTTTTTTATTCTTTATTTTTTATTATCTCTTTCTGACTGTTGCACCGAGCCAAAGCAATTTCCAAGTCTGTGACTTCCTGTTACTTCTGTGGCAATAAAAATGATTCTGATTCTGATTCTGATTCTGAAATGAAGCCCAGAAAGGAAGTGCTCAAGGACAAAGTTTTGCTCTAACTCACTCTGGCTGCTACTGACCAACATTGAAACGTAAGAACGTAATCTATATATATATTTTATAGCGCCTTTCACTGGCCAGCCCACTCCTAATATACAGTCTAATGGTGTTTACTAATACAAGTACGTTTTTACTTTAGGTATGTAAACAAGAAGGACAAATATTTTTTTAAATACAATAAAAACTCTCCATTTGAACAAAACATTAATTCAACAAACTTTAAATGTCTTTCAAATGAATGTGCTGTATAAATAAAGATTACTTACTCACTTAGGTAAAGTTATACATGTGACGTGTCAGCGGTACCTATGCACCTTAAAGACTTTGATTTGGCAGCTGGCCGACTGCACATGCTCCATGTATTCTTCCTGCTCGTTGGTGGTGAATGTGTCCACCTGGACCCTGAAGGGGACTCCCTTCTCTCCCCCGTGTTTTTTAGGGGTGAACTCTGTGCTGATGCAGTTCACCTAAGGCGTACAAAGAAAAATAATGCGTTTACAGAGTAATAATCAATTGTCATTAATCAGGCTTTTATTAATTTTCAGTTCTAGCTCCACCCATGATAAAAACCAGTCACTACCACATCCCCCCACCCCATCTGTTAAAATGCTTTGTTTTTACACTTGATGACGCCATACACATTCGATTCATACTTGTGTATGTATATACATATTTCAATCTGGAAATACTCAAAACAGCGATTGCGTTAGAAGTGCAATCAAACCCAGTCTGCTGGGTTTAATTGCATGAATAGACAATTAAACCCAGCAGACTCATTGATTGGGTACTTATTGCATTTGAATACGAAGTGTTCATCAAGCTTGGCAATTAGACCCCAGCAGGAATACTGCATGACATATGCAGGGGGGAGTGTACTGCATAGGACGGAGACGCTGCAAAGCAATTAGCAAAAATGACCAGGCTCCTTATTCGAAGAGCACAGCGTCTAAACAACAACGGAAAACAATGTAGTTCTAGCGCCCGGCCAGTATAACACAAGACCACACTTCCTCTTCTTCTGGTCTTACATATGTCCTGCATGTGGGCTGCAACATTGAAATTTAACAACATCCGTCTCAGGACGTGAAAGAATGCACCAACATCATTCTATGATGCGGCCGTTGTATCGGACTGGCTCTTAGCTGATGGGCCAAGTTATTACCTGGATGAAAACTGTTGCATTCTTGGCTGGGTCCCAGAGAAACTCGATGGTGTTGAGGTGCAGAGGGTGTGACCGTGGCTCCAGGACACCCACCGACAGAGGAATGTCTGCAACAAATCACATACCTATGTATGTCAACACGTGTTTTAAGATTCAAGATGCAGATTAGTATGTCTCCTCTGATGAAGGTCCGACAGAGTATACCACTGAAACCCTTTTTACATTGTATGTGAAGCCAATTAGAACATAAGCTTTAGCCAAAGTCCTTATATGGGCATTTGTTCAGACTTCGTTAGCAGTAACAGGGAATAGACGTGTTTCCAATTGACCAGATGCATCAACGTCATCCAGTCACGTGATTGTGCATGAGCTTACGGCGGAAGTAGTGGAAACTAGCATTGCAGCAAGAGCAAAATGGACAGTCACTCCTCTCCTAAATCGAGAAGTGGCTGCTTCAAGTGCATGTTCAATAACGTGAAATTAGGACATCTTGTCAGGGCTCACAGAGAGCGGTATTTGGAAAAGTTAAGGATCGCTGAACTGAATGTTGACCCATACCTTCTCCCCCCGGTCAATTAGGGGAAGTATTAGCGCATTAGCAATAGTCCACTTTTCTGTGCCTTTTCTGCCCACAGCCAAACATGACACATATGGACAGAGAGGAATATAGTGAAAACCCCAACTGACGTCTAAGATAAGATAAGAGATCCTTTATTTGTGCCATAGTGGGGATAGTTCAATGTTGCAGTGCACATACAGGAAAGTATAGTAAGAAGTTTGACTTCAAGCGTTCATTGTGTCATTGTCCTCCAAATAATTTAATGGAAAGAAAATAAATACAAAATTGTGATTGATTTATCTTCACTGTGATTTGTGTTCACTGCAAATTCGGGAATATTTGGATGGCAGTCCTTTTGGTTGATTGCATTTACATAAGATACATGTGGCTTATGTCCTGTTCCAACCAACCACAATGCACAATATAACAGTTTTGGCTGGCGGTAAAGTTTCCAAAGGCTTGCAGTTAGACTTCTGTCGCCTGTCATGGAGAGTGGGCGTGGCCGGGACTTCACATGCAAGGGGTCAATAGTTGCTAAAGCGAACTGGAGTTTCCCTATCTGATTGGTCTATCGCTTAATGGCTCATATCTGGATTTTAAAAGATACTATCAAACTAAAAACACAATGATCAGAGCATGAACCACGGTTTTTAAAAGAAACAGAATGGTGAGTGTGACACAAACTGTTAAGCCTAGCGTACATCGACAGAGTAACGGGAGACAACTAGTTGCAAGGCGGCTTTTGGCAACTGAGAGTAGATGATGGGAGATGATCAGTTGCCGAAATCGGTCGATGTGAGCGCTCTTACAACTGGAGATAAACAGTCAATCTCCAGTTTCAGTCAGTTGCCCGTGTTCTACTTTTCCGCAACTAGTTGTCCTCAGATCCGGAGATATCGCCCGATGTGCGCGCTCCATGGTGCGCTCCAACAACATGTGTGTATTGCGCCCCCTCTACAGTTTGTCAGAAAACACACTGTAGTTGACGGCCAGTTGCTGTCGATGTACGCGCTGTTATTCCCGAGACTGGCCTGCTACTAGGACTTGCCCGTTTTCGCCAGATTGTCGATGTGTGCGGGGCAGCAACTCATATGCAACGGATATAATCAGTTGCCAGAACGATGTACGCTAGGCATTACTGAGATAGAAGTTTAATTTTCAATGTAATGTAATGTAAGGAGCCAGAGAAAACTTTGTCCATGAGCATATCCCTTGATCCCATTGAGCTAGCAGGTTAGCATTGTCCACCTATATACAATCTATGATTGTAGCAGTGACTGACCGATGTCCAGGATGCGGTCCCCTGGCCGACTCCACCTCCAGCCCTCCAGCTGCTGGTGCTCCATGTACTGTAGCCTTCGGTCATGAAACACCACCCTCACGATACTCTGAGGACAGGGACAGAGAGTCAGACTGGGACGACACTGGGACAATACTGGGACAACACTGGACAACACAGAGACAACACAGAGACAACACAGGGACAAGACTGAGACAACACAAAAAGTGCTTCACAATCAAAACAGTTAAATTACGTAGAAAAAATGTTGCCAAAAGTAATTATTTAAAAGGCGAAGCTTTCTCTCACTCCCTCATTCAAAGTAATATGGATGAAGTGTCTTGCCCGAGGACACAACAACAATTCACCACAAGTTAAAACTGGGGTACATAAATTAAGAAATAAAAAAGTACTACAATGTAATAAAATTCATATCTCAAAACTCTCTCTGGTCTCTCGCTGGTCTCTCTCGCTAGTCTCCCTGTCTGGTCTCTCTCTGGTCTCCCTCTCTCTGGTCTCTTTCTCTCTGGTCTCAATCTCTCTCTCTTTGGTCTCTCACTCGTCTCTCTCTGGTCAGAACATTTTCAGACGGAAAAATTAAAAAGAGAGGACTACCCTCAACCAAAAAAGTCAAATAGCCCTTTCTTTCAAATATGTAAACAATTAAAGGTTTTCAATTAGAATGAATACAACATTCAGAAACAGAAATTCCCTTCCTGAAGGGACAGAAATATTTATGAAACGTTATGAAAAGTTAAGTACCCCAGCTTAAGAGAATTTGCTGTTGTTTGCTCAGAGCTCTCCCGTTCTTGTGTTTCTCAGATGCTAGAGTTTATACAAAGTGCCGTATCCTGAGCACAGAGGAATGTCCAGCCTTCAAAAATTAACCAAAGTGTTGACAAAGGTCCACTGGGATCAGGATGCGGGCAAAACCAGAGCATTGTCTCTCTCTGGTCTCTCGCTGGTGTCTCTCAATCCGCTTTCTCTCCCTTGTCTTTCTCTCGGATCTCTCTCTCTTTGTCTCCCTTTGGTCTGGTTTTTCTCTGCTCGCTCTCCCTGGTCTCTCTCTGGTCTCTCTCTGATCTCTCGTTCTGGTTTCTCTTTCGGGTCTCTCTCTCTCTGGTTTCTCTCTGATATCTCTCGAGTGGGCGACAGTAGCTCAGTTGGTAGAGCATTGGCCTTCAGGCCTGAAGGTCGTGGGTTCAATTCCTACCTCTACACCTTCTCCACCGACTCCCACTGATGACTGCTGTCGTTGTGACCTTGGGCAAGACACTTAACCCCACTTTGCCCAAAGCCCCCACTGAAAGATCAAGGCTATGCTCACACTCAGAGAGCAGCTGTCCTCCTGTGGACTCACCACCTGCAGAGGGTCAGTGAGGGGCTGGTGCTATGAGACTTGGGTGGCATCTCTGATTGCCACCCCCTTGACCCAGAAATGGATTAAAGGGTAGAAAATGGATGGATGGATGGATCTCTCGAGTATCTCTCTCTGGTCTCTCTCGGGTCTCTCGGTTTCTACGCGCTCTCTCTCTGGTTTCTCTCTCGAGTATCTCTCCCTCTGGTCTCTCTCTCACCATGCTCTCTTTCTATCTCAGATCTCTCTCTCTGGTCATGTTTCAATAAGGAGAAACAGGTTTATCTGCATTTCACTGGGATTCAATATTCGTTTACAATGGGTTTTGGTCTCTCTCTCTCTCCCTCTGGTCTCTGGGGTTACGGTGAGCAGGAAAGGAGTTGGGGGTTACATTTAAACTAACAGGTGCTCATCTGCCGCTCCATCATGGATCAAGACGGTGATCCGAATCAGCTCCAAAATGGAATCTCTTATTCACTGGGTAATTACACAGCTTTTCTGAATTGCTCAAAGTCCAAGTACATGTATAAGTCAATTATTACAACATTTTTGATTCCACGTCTAAACAAGTGATTGTTTGATGAAAACACATGGTTCACACCTACCTTAACATATTTGCTGCTTATTTCTGAAAACGCTGCTAGTTTTCTGTTTAGCAGACGGATTTCATAGGACTGACCTACATTTGCAAAAACAAAACACTAATTAAATGTGAAAGAAGAAAACGTGAAAGCAGAGACTGGAGCAAGAGAGACAAGTGTATGAGTCTACATCTTTTATCAAATCATCAATATTTGTATAGATTATGGGCTCATTATGGGCAGCCCCATGGAAATAGCGAGCAGTGCTTCCGGCTAATGCTATGTCAACAAACCATGGGCAACAACACACGTCTGTGGGGAAGGTTTGCTTAAATGGGCTTGACATAGGGACATGAAAACAGCCACACCTAAGTTTTATTCAAGACAAAACTTATGAAGATATTTGAAGAGGCTTTTGATGAATGCTTCGCTGCCTTATTTTTCCCGAGCCGTGGCCGTGAATGCGCGTAACTCATGGTAACCCTTTAAGGATCACCTAATTTCGCCTGCTCCTTCTCGAAATATGATATCCAAATGGAAATGCTTATTGTGTGGACACTGATTTTGTGTTATGAGGCCTCATTTGAAAGGTAACACCTTCTAGTTTCTGAAAATGTATGTTACAGTTTGTTAGGAAGGACACAGTCTGCACTACACCTTCTCAAACATGAGTCAAAGTTAGTTTTTTTTGTCAAAAGGTTCTCCTGATTATATTTAATGTTTATTTGAACATAGAACGCGTTTAGAGGTGGGAATAAGCTTTCAAAAGAGATATAGCTTGACTATATTGACACAAGTGAATTGTAATACGGATGCTGTTAAATGAAAAATAACTGAATCCTCCCTGTACAGGGAGGGTGATGTAAACAACCACTCGCCTTGGACTCGGAGCGAACACGTAAACATGTGTCTATGGTACCTGCATTATACTTTACTGTTGAGTTATTTAAAGACAGCTTTAAAGTGGTTAGCCATGCTTTTAAGTTGATTATTTGTGTGCCTATTTCCTGACTTTATGGTATGATGTTCAAACTCACCAGGGCAGATGTTTGTGGTGTTGGAAACACCTCTATGAAATTTTAGACCTTAAGGTGGAACTATTTTGATGCTGGGGGCTTTTTTGTAACTAATGGGCACATTCGCCACAAGTGGTCAATTTTTGTGCCAACTGTGCCAAAGTGTTTTACATGCAAATTATCAATGTTTTTACACCAAAAATCCATTTATATAATTTTTTGGCTATTACTCTTGCTATAAATAGCATTTTTTCCAGATATTGAAATGTTTGCAGAAAAGCCATTATTTGTATAGTTATAGCGCGTGTTCTCCGTGAAAAAGGCTCCATCTTCCTCTTTACGCATTCAAATATGACGGGAACAGTGGTAGGAAGCTAGAAGTCCGACACATTGCCTGAAACTGTCATGGGGGGAGGCGAATGAAGGACTCAAAATGCAGGAAATGCCAAAATAAAAATAATTTAATGATGAAAAAACTAAATGGTAGCTTAGAGGCTGCATAAACCTCAGGTCCCAGGCAGAGTCCAAACTAGGGGCAGAGGCTGAAGCCCAGCGGTGACCTTCCATTAGGGAACTGGCTCACCCCGGACGGACACAAATGCCCGGCGGTGACTCAGACAGGACAGAACCACCCCAGACGGAGAACCATGTCTGGCGGTGGAAACAGGAGAAGGGTAGGAGAGGTCATCGAAGTGCAGCAGCAGACACAGGCGAGGAAATCCAAGCAGACATAAACCATCCAGGCAAGAGCAGAACGTCACTGTAGACCTCTCAACAGGTCAGGGGGGGACAGAGGACCACCCCGGGCGGAGACAAGTGCCCGGCGGTGGTACGGAGGGAACACCACCCCAGACGGAGGTACTTGTCTGGCGGTGGTACCAGGTAACGGGTTGAGAGGTTGGCAGTGATGAGATGGTGAAAGAATAAAAATCTTACAGGTTGCGATGAACAGGGAGCAGGTGTGTGGTAAACGGCATTCCGCTGAGTCCTCTTGTTGGCTGGTCCATTCTGTCATGGGGGGAGGCGAATGAAGGACTCAAAATGCAGGAAATGCCAAAATAAAAATAATTTAATGATGAAAAAACTAAATGGTAGATGAAAATATACTCAAAAATCCAAAACCACAGGGAACCAGGAACGGAACGGAACAGAACAGAACAGACAAGGACATGAACAACACAAGACAGGACGTTGACAAGACAATGGACCAGCACAAGGGGAGAGGAGCGCAGGGTACAAATAGACACAGACACAGGTGAAACACATCAGGGCAGGGCAAACAATCAAGACAGGGGAAACAGGACAGGAAGTCAAGCTAAAACTAATTCACAGATAAGATGTCAAAATAAAACAAAAATACAAAAATAAAATCCACACCATAACAGAAACCTGAGATTATTGGCTACAAGATGATTTGATTGACATCCAAATTGGCAAATGGTAGTCAAGACAATGCTGTCGTGACGCACAGATATCTATGTGACTGGAGCGCTAAAGCTAGGTGCGCTTGTTTTACTCAACTTACTCTACCTTCCAAACCATAGCACTGAAAACTCCGGGAATGGGCTTGTTTTGAAGGGGAGGTTTAGTGGAAGACGAACATACCCAGTGACGCTAGGTAAATAGTAACATGTCCTCTTCATACAGTGCGCAAAGAACAGGTTTTGTTTTTGTTTGTGGAACTTTCAATACTCAAATATGTTGTTACCAGTGGATATCTACTATAAGGATGACTTTGAAGAAAATACAACTGGATATAATTATTCTCTAGACCCTAACAAACAAAAAGAATGCTCACATGTGTGGATTAGACGTGATTTGCCCCAAAATATTAGCATGAAAAGGTAAGAAAGGACAATATATATTTTAAATATATATACAGTTTGACTGCTTATTCTTACTTTTGGTTATATTTAATGTTTATTTGAACATAGAACGCGTTTAGAGGTGGGAATAAGCTTTCAAAAGAGATATAGCTTGACTTTATTGACACAAGTGAATTGTAATACGGATGCTGTTAAATGAAAAATAACTGAATCCTCCCTGTACAGGGAGGGTGATGTAAACAACCACTCGCCTTGGACTCGGAGCGAACACGTAAACATGTGTCTATGGTACTTGCATTATACTTTACTGTTGAGTTATTTAAAGACAGCTTTAAAGTGGTTAGCCATGCTTTTAAGTTGATTATTTGTGTGCCTATTTCTATTCTATCATTGTTATTCCGCGTTCCACCTCAGAGCAATTCTCCTGCTGTGAAGCTTATACCTCTTTAATACATACATATGCAATTTGAAAGCAAGGCCCCTAATAGTTAGTATTAATTGAATACAAAGTGTGCAAAAGAAACGTAATATGTGATGTACATGTTTTAATATATATGATGTTTGTGTCCTTATTTTTCAGAGACTTTTGGTGAAATTAACATTACCTTTCTCTGACTGCACCACAATCACGCGCCATTGTTTCTCCAGCTTGACCTCCATCACCTTCATTTTCACTACAACAAACTTAGGACCAATATTTTAACGTTTTAATTAGCAGCTGCTGCTGCTATTTAAAGCAGCAACAGCAGAGTCCTGGGCGTCTGCCTCTTCTTCATAGAGAAGAACCTGGAAATAAATATAAAAGATCAAATATGTTGCTTTTATTTGGATTTTGTTCTTTGTGTCTGAAGTTTAAAGCATCTTTGTGTGTCATGAAAAGTATTATTTACACAAGTACATATTTGTCAGTGTAACAGGGAGGCACGAGCGGGCGGCGGTGGGCACACACACACCAGGGAGGCAGTCTTGAGGGTCCACTTTTCAAATTTATTTTCTTTTTTTGTCTGCAAAAATGCAAAGTTCACCATAATAAAGTGAAAATGCATTAAAGTGCATGGGAGGACTCAATCAGTGTAGCCCATCCAGCAGCCCAACCCAGAGTGAGAACATGAGACTCAAATACCCTCCGTCTAAATTGGATAAAACCACTCAAGATAAGCAGGTGTCCACATGTCACATTTGCTCTCACAACCTCTATCTACAACCCCAACCACAATACAAAGACATAGAAAAACCCCACTATACACAATCCCAACTCAAACCACTCAACTAAATAAGCTAAGACCTAAAACCTGTTACAACACTGCAGTCCTCCCCCCAGCTTGTTCTGCCCCTTGTTCCAGCCCGGAACGGATTTTAGCGGCGTCCGTTACCCACGGACTCTTTTCGCCAGACACCGCTATCCTGGACACAAGACGACAAGGTAAACAAACTGCGCTCACACACACATTCACACACCCAGACACCCGACCATTCACCGCACGCACGAAACACTAAAACATCCATCCATCCATCCATTTTCTTCCGTTTTATCCGTTGCCGGGTCGCTGGGGCAGCAGTCTAAGCAGAGACGCCCAGACTTCCCTATCCACACACACTTCCTCCAGCTCGTCCGGGGGGACCCCAAGGCGTTCCCAGGCCAGCTGGGAGACATAGTCCCTCCAGCGTGTCCTAGGTCTTCCCCGGGACCTCCTCCCGGTGGGACGTGCCCGGAGCACCTCCCCAGGGAGGCGTCCAGGAGGCATCCGGAACAGATGCCCGAGCCACCTCAACTGGTTCCTCTCGACGTGGAGAAGCAGCGGCTCTACTCTGAGCTCCTCCCGTGTGACTGAGCTCCTCACCCTATCTCTAAGGGAGCGCCCAGCCACTCTGCGGAGGAAGCTCATTTCGACCGCTTGTATCCGCGATCTCGTTCTTTTGGTCATTACCCAAAGCTCATGACCATAGGTGAGGGAGGGAAGGAAGATTGACCGGTAAATCGAAAGCTTTGCCTTTCGGCTCAGCTCCCTCTTCACCACGACGGTCCGATACAGCGATCGCATCACTGCGCACGCTGCACCGATCCGCCTGTCAATCTCACGCCCCATTCTTCCCTCACTCGTGAACAAGACCCCAAGATACTTGAACTCCTCCACTTGAGGAAGGACCTCTCCACCCACCTGTAGAGGGCAAGGCACCTTTTTCCGGTCAAGCACCATGGCCTCGGATTTGGAGGTGCTGATTCTCATCCCAGCCGCTTCACACTCGGCTGCAAACCGCCCCAGTGCATGCTGCAGGTCCTGGTTCGTTGGAGCCAACAGGACAACATCGTCTGCAAACAGCAGAGATGAAATCCTGTGGTCTCCGAACCGGACCCCCTCCGACCCCTGGCTGCGCCTAGAAATTCTGTCCATAAACACAGTGAACAGAACCGGTGACAAAGGGCAGCCCTGTCGGAGGCCAACATTCACCGGGAACAAGTCTGACTTGCTGCCGGCAATGCGAACACAGCTCTGGCTCCGGTCATACAGGGATCGGATGGCCTTCAGCAGAGGACCTCCGACCCCGTACTCCCGGAGAACCCCCCAAAGGACACCCCGGGGAACACAGTCGAACGCCTTCTCCAAATCCACAAAGCACATGTGGACATGTTGGGCGAACTCCCATGAACCCTCGAGTATCCGATGGAGAGTATAGAGCTGGTCCAGTGTTCCGCGACCGGGACAAAAACCACACTGCTCCTCCTGAATCCGAGATTCGACCATCGGCCGTAACCTCCTCTCCAGTACCTTGGAGTAGACCTTACCAGGGAGGCTGAGGAGTGTGATCCCACGATAATTAGAACACACCCTCCGGTCCCCCTTCTTGTAGAGAGGGACCACCACCCCGGTCTGCCACTCCATTGGCACCACCCCTGATCGCCACGCGATGTTGCAGAGACGTGTCAGCCAAGACAGTCCTACAACATCCAGAGACTTTAGATAATTAGGACGGATCTCATCCACACCCAGAGCCTTGCCACCATGGAGGCTGCCAACCACCTTGGTGACCTCAGCCAGGGAGATGGATGTATGCGCCCCAACATCCTCAGCCTCTGCCTCTGTAACGGAGGACGTGACGGGGGGATTGAGGAGAACCTCAAAGTATTCCTTCCACCGCCCGACAATATCCCCAGTCGAGGTCAGCAGCTCTCCACCCATGGTGTTGGCAAAGAACTGCTTCCCCCTCCTGAGGCGCCGGATGGTTTGCCAGAATCTCTTCGAGGCCGACCGATAGTCATTCTCCATGGACTCTCCGAACTCCTCCCAGTCCCGGGTTTTTGCCTCTGCAACAGCCCGGGCCGCGGCACGCTTGGCCTGCTGGTACTTGACAGCTGCCTCAGGAGTCCCCCGAACCATCATGGCTCGATAGGACTCCTTCTTCAGCCTGACAGCATCCCTTACTGCCGGTGTCCACCACCGGGTTCGGGGGTTGCCGCCGGGACCAGCACCAGAGACCTTGCGACCACAGCTACGAGGCGCCGCATCGGCGATTGAGGCAGAGAACATGGTCCACTCGGACTCCATGTCCCCCTCCTCCGCCGGGACCTGGGAGAAGCTCTCCCGGAGGTGTGAGTTGAAAGTCCGTCTGACAGGGGGCTCAGTGAGACGTTCCCAGCAGACCCTCACTATACGCTTGGGTCTGCCAGGTCTGACCGGCTTCTTCCCCTGCCAGCGGATCCAACTCACGACCAGGTGATGATCGGTTGACAGCTCCGCCCCTCTCTTTACCCGAGACACGCGGTCGATGATACGACAACAAAGTCGATCATCGACCTCCGGCCTAAGGTGTCCTGGTGCCACGTGCACTGGTGGACAACCTTGTGCTCGAACATGGTGTTTGTGATGGACAAACTGTGACTGGCACAGAAGTCCAACAACTGAACACCGCTCGGGTTCAGATCAGGGGGGCCGTTCTTCCCGATCACCCCTCTCCCAGTGTCACTGGCGTTTCCCACATGGGCGTTGAAGTCCCCCAGGAGAATAACGGAGTCCCCGGGCGGTGCACCGTCTAGTACCCCTCCCAAGGACTCCAAGAAGGCCGGGTACTCTGCACTGCTGTTAGGCCCGTAGGCCGTCACAACAGTGAGAGACTTGTCCCCCACCCGGAGGCGGAGGGACGCGACCCTCATTCACCGGGGAGAACTCCAACACTTGGCGGCTG